TATACTTTATGTACTGCAAATTTTACACTAAATCCCCTCTTATTTGCACCGTACTTGTTTCAGCTTTGCCTCAAAGCCAACATGTCTGGAACCCCTGCTGCGACAGCCCATCACCCTCTCTGTAATTTAATGTGGATGTTTGGTGATGGAGGATAAAGCTTCCAGTCATGTAAACAACCACAGGCCCAGACAAACAACTCTGTTTTGCATCCATCTCAAAGGACCCCCTGGGCTAAGAAATCTTCATGCATTAAATATTGGGGGATGGGGCAGAAAACAAGGGGAATGAGCTGATGCTAATACTGTTTACATGGGAAATCGCTATCTGAGTTTCATAGCTGTGTGTTTCACAAATGGCTAACACAGCTCGGTCAACATGTGCAGAAGGCCTTCAGGATGCCAGTCAGAGGAGGTTTAGATAAATAAAATGCTGTTTTTGTTCAATTGCTAATCTTTTACACTTTTGTCACAGTGGACATTACTGAACTGTAGCCACCAGCGAATAAGCTAAATAAATATTTAATGATAAAGCTGTGAAAATGATCAATGGATAGTGCAGTCGGGCCAAGATTCCCAGTCCAGATACATTTATCACTGTAACTGAGAAAGTTCTAAGACTGATGACCAGTCTCCAAAAAAGTTTAAATTTGAGCCTTTAGATATAAGTGATAAAAGTGATATTGTGGAATTATATTATGGGGTAGGAGGGGAAGGAATACTGTAGGGGTTATCTGTCATCAAGAAATAATTTCAGAGTCTGAATTAATGATTAATGGCATAAAAATGCCATTAAAAATATGAGCTGTAAACAGGTAAGTTCAAGTTTTGCTGGCTATACAAATGTGAGTGTTCAAATTCTAAACATCCATGGGCCTGGCTGGGGTATTTGCGCATGTGTGATGTATCAGGCTGTCATCAGTAACACAGACACTATGCGGGTGACCCTGTCAGATGGAGTGGCGCTGGGCTTCGAGTCAGCAGAGCTCTTTCAGGTACATTTGGTTCCACGCTCATCCGGCATTCACTCTAGTCCTCCTCTCTCTACATTTGGCTCCAAGTAATGGAAACTGGCAGACTGGCTTCAGGTGCAAATATAAATGTCACTGCAATTACAGAGGAGAGAAGTCTGCAAACAAACAGCATGTCAGGGTGTGTGTTTCTGTACAGGTGTGTCTGTGTGTGTGCATAAAAACTGAAGAAGAACATGCTGTATATTGCACAGCAGATGGCTATAATTCACTCTCTTCTTCTGCTCTTCTCCCGGTCATTATCATCTCTATTTTCCCATATCTGACTGACAACTACTGAAACTTTAAAATTTGACAAAAACAAACAACAAGAACAAAAACCCGTAATGAACTAAATATGAACTAGGTTAAATCATTTGATATAATTTTATGACCCATGTAATATTTTTTTAGGCTAGTTAACTGTACTTTAATTTTACAAAATAAACAAAGTGACATTGTGCTGGACTATTTATTTTTGCTCCTTTCTCCATTTTGCACACTTAACCTGGCTTAGCTCAGTGCTAGGATCTCTATGGAATTAGTATCTCCAAACCAAATTTAACTAAACTAGGCATTGCACTGTAGGAATTAATGACACATTTGGGGGGAAAGCTAAACTACACAGTTGAGGTTTATTTCTATTAAATTTTGATCTGGTTTATGAGCAGGCAGCTGAACATGAATATGGATGATTTAGAGAAAGTAGCTCCAGCTGTTCTTAAGTGTTTGTATTTTGCATATACATGTTAACATATATGGATGCCTATAATGATTTGAATTTTCACTTTCTGTGAGATTGTATGACAGATTTTCAACACTGATACATCATAGAAATGAAGCCCCCTACTCCTTTTTTATTTCCTGAGTTTAGTACACAGTGAACTTGTCCTGTGATCTTCTGTAATCTTATTCTCCATGTCTACCTGCTTCTGTCTCACTGGCGTTTTATTGAATGTCCTAATGGAGCAGAGATTTGTTATCTGATTACAGGTTTTCAAGACAGAGGGATGGATAAATATGGATGTGCTGGAGCAGGTAGTGGCAAATGAGGCTGATGAGTGAATGAGTGTGAGAATGCAGGGAGATATGCTAATGAAGTGGAAATGTG